AAAACAAAAATGCCTCAGAATGGAGCTTTTAAAAAATATAGAAAACGTCAGAAGAGATGTGGATTTATTATGAAGCAATAAGAAGGTCCCGGTGAGGGTAGAATTGTTCAGTATCTTCAGTGTGGTGCTGAAAACGTGAAAACACACAGGTGGTAACATTTCTTAGAAATAACTACACACTCACACTCCCATGTGGACACACACACTCATGTGGTGAAACTGGAGAAATCTGAGTGAAATCTGTTGACTGCTTGAACATCAGTATCTTAGTTGTGATGCTATAAAAAGTATTATCAAAAATAAGGTAAATAAAAAAGAGGGTAAATGTTTGAATTGAAAAAAATTACAGTAAGAGACACATTGCCCGTAACTGCCCTCACTTTGAACACACATCCCATTGTTCTTGCCTCTCTCTGGAGCAGTTCTGTCAGTTCTCTTTTGCCAGGAATCGAACTCACGACCTTGCGCTTGCCAGGCAGGCGCTTTTGCCGCTGAGCTAAATCCCCAGCCCCTTGTGAGTTCTCTTTTGTGAGTATTTCTCACTGTGCTGTCCTGGCTGCCTTTGTGTCTTGAATCCATTTGAAACATGTCCCTCACTCATGAAAACAGGACTTCCGAAGGATTCTAGATAGGTTTTTACAGCATCATTTCAGTTTTTATTGTCTTATAACTTGATCAAGTAATTTTAGACAATACATCAAATGTAACCAATTACCTAGTAACTAGTAAACAATACTGCCACTCTATTAGAGTAATGTAGTTTCTATTTTTTAATGTTACAGATTATTGTTAAATTATGCCTTTTGCATAAGAAATTACATTTCAGGTATGTTCATTAGACGTGTCATCCTTGTTTTCAATGAAACACTGTAAAATAATGTCTACCACACAAAACTGCATTTATTGATACTGCATAAAGTGACAGAGAATTTTCAATCCAAAGAACATATAAGCCTCCTGAGGAAGATTTCAGCATCAGAGTTTGGCTGTGAGGCCAAAGCATCATCCTTCTTATCTTCTTTGCAGATTTTCAGATAAATCTAATACCATAGGCCCCTTTCCTAAGACTGCCTTATCTCTAGGAAGTAAGTTTCTTGTTCCTGCTCTGTTACCATTTATCTTGATTCTTTTAATTATTTTCCAGCTGGTCTCTTTAATCCTCTTAATTAGAGCTTCTTCAGAATTTACCCCATGTTCTCTACTTGCACTATTATCAGATCATTTCATTATCAATTATCTGTAAAATTAGTTCTTAAATTATTCTTGGTTTTTAATAACTTACTGTTCTCACCCATCAACCTTTCCAATTCTAAGGTAGTATTTTTAGATCTATTTCTTATTCTCCTTCTCAGGGCCATTAATCAAAGGCCACACTAATTCTTTTCTCACAAATACTGTGAAGCGCTTTATGTCCCCACAGGGGCTAGGGCACGAAACAATGTTTCTTGAAATTAGCGGGCCTAAGAATCAGCTGAGGTGCTTGTTAAATTTCACCCCATTTCAGTAATCCCTAACTAGAAAGCCCTGGCTGGGATCCAGGAATCTGTGTTCTAAACCAGCATCCCACAGGATTCCGACACGGGATGTGTGTGGAGAATTCTTAAGAAACCCAGAACCTGAATAGGAGATGTAAATGGTTCCCATCTAGGACTCCTTCCAGAAGACTCTCGGATACCACCATTGGAAATCTCCCAATATTTGCCAGTGGCTGCAGGGATCTAGCACTGCTTCTTCTAAACCCACAGGTAAAACATGGCTAGTACCTGAGCCCATCCGCATCAGCAAGTTCTGAGCCCTCGGTGCTGAGGGAAGCGAGGTCGGGTGAGCTCGCACATTCACGGAGCTTCTGTTCGTGCTTGGGATCACTGAGAGGGATCTCTGAGAGGGATCACTGAGATAACATGCAAACAACACTTATCTCAACTGCAACCCACTGTAAGTGCTCAGAAAATATCACCTTCTATTTTTCACCTAGAAACTCTCCACATTTCCCTTAGATATTTTTATTCTTAATCACTGTTTACATTCCTAAAAGGTGACCTGAGCTAAACATCTTGGGCTGCCCTGGGGGCCTGCAGGTGCTTAACTGATTATTGGACCAGAAATGAAGGTGGGTCTTTTTTTTCCTCAAGTGTTTAATTTTCCTTTCCTTGAAGGGATGAAAATTCTCAGAAACACTGACGGGAAACAATCACGACCACAGTGTCTGTTGGGAAAAGCCCACCTCTCTCACATCACCAGTTATCGTGTCTCTTCCCTGTGTCCTGATATAATACCCCAAGGTCCAGAGAAAGGACATTCTCCACCTTAGAAAAATAATAGCGCCACAAATTACAGCCACAGATATGTTTGTTCTGTGAGCTTTATAAATATTTCACATTTTCCATCAAGTTGGAGAGTTAGCAAAAAGAAAAACAGCTATGAATGCTATCTCATGGAAAGCCCTTCAGAGAACAGGACAATGCCAAGTTCCTACAGGGGGATGGCTGCTGCTTGGACCCTAAAACAGGAAAAAGAAAGGCAAGGCACCCTCTTGGTTTCAATTAGTGTCCTGCCGAAAGGACATTATAATTCACTTTTTAACTTAGAGAGTGTGTTTACAGAGCCCTCGCCTGGAAAATCCAGGTTGTCTCTCCAGCCTCAGAAAATAACATGCTGATCATTTCTTCAAAACTCAGCAAGTGCCAGGCACCGCATGTATCACCCTTGGGGACTTGGGGAGGACCCAGTTTCTCTCTCTCTCCGTCTGTCTCTGTCTCTCTCTCTCTGTGTCTCTCTCTGTCTCTCTATCTCTATCTCTCTGTGTGTCTCTGTCTCTCTGTCTCTGTCTGTCTCTGTCTCTCTCTCTCTGTGTCTCTCTCTGTCTCTCTATCTCTATCTCTCTGTGTGTCTCTGTCTCTCTGTCTCTGTCTGTCTCTGTCTCTCTCTTTCTTTCCCTTTTTTCTCCTTTCCTTTGCTCCCTCCCTCCTTTTTTCCTTTCTTTTACTTCTCTTTATGCGACCAAATTTCCCTCTGAGCTCAGTTCCCCGGGAATATATTATAATTAACTGCTAGATGAGATTAGGGGATATTATAGAGCTGTAACACAATCATTTCAACCTTAACTTTTTTCATTCAAACAAGTATGTCTTCTAAAGGGAAAAATGTCTTAGGACAATAAGATTTTCAGTGTCTTTACATGTATTGCTTATGCAGCACTAATCTCTAAATTCCTCTGTCCAACTTCTAATAATGTGTTCCTTTGATAAAATGACAAATACCTAATAATGCTAGGCCCTATCTCAAGTTCTAGGCACACAAAGTTGACTGTAACTAACATCATCAAGTGTTTATGCTATACCAAACAAGTGTATGCTCTTCACGTAGATTATCTGACAACTAGCTGCGTGAGTATAAGGAACTATTTTCTCCATCTTATAATTAAGAAGTTTGAGAGCAGGCAGGCAATCTGCTCGTTGAGGACCCACAGCCGGTAGACAGAGCTTTGACTGTAACCGGGGGTCTGGCTTCCATGCTCACTGCTTACACACTGTGCTTCACCACTCGGAGAAACCTTCCATGAGATCCAGAACCCTCGATACTCTGGGACAACAGAGGTCAAAGAGCTCATAATGAACAAATATGTGAGCTCGAGAGTAGGTGCTAGAGGCTGAAGGACACGTGTCCAGCTGCCAGGACTCCCCAGCTGTCAACTTCCCCAGAGCTACTCTGGATGAAAAGAATGCCCTGGCCCAAAAGCAGCCTCCTCTCCCCATCCCACCCCCACAGCTGATCCATGTGGAAGCCTCTTGTTCCCACTTCACATCTTGCCCCGGGACTCCCAGGGACATCTATGAAACTGCACTGCAACCCAGATCTCCCTTTAGTTAGTTTTGATCCCTTCCCTTTTCTCACAGAGGTGTTCGTGCCTAGTAAACGTCCCATCATTAATTTTATCTCCCCTAAGACAGTCTGCTCCCCATCCTTTGTGCTATCCTCCACCTCAGAGTCCGACTTCTAGCAATGCTGCCCTAAGACAGGCTGTTTTTCCACAAAAATTTTGTGAGATAAGAGGTGAGACTAGAAACTTGTTAACCCTAGAGCAAAACTGTACTGGCAGTACAGAGAGGTAAGAGAAATATAGCTACAAAGAGTGATCAAATTATAGAGTTTCTGTTTAAATTTTTAAAATTTGTTAAAGATATATTGCCATTACTCATCACCTTTAAAATGCCCACCCACACTTGAAGACACCTACACCATCATCCTTGCCACTTTCTAAAGCAGTTCTTGAAGTCCTCTTTCATGAGTGTCTTTATGAGGTGTGTTTTAAAAAACACAACTAACGCTGCTGCTGTGAGCCGTCCAATGGAAATGCAGCTTCATGAAAATACCATGGTGTCCTCCTCTACCTTATTCATCAGGTCTGGCACCATGTGACTTCTGGCTCTTTCCCAAAGTCAAAGTAACCATGAAAGGGAAATGTTTTGAATCAATTCAGGACCTCAAGGCAACGATGACACCAAAAGTAAAGATACTCAAGAAAGAGGACTAATTGCTATTAGTTCACTGCAAACAAAGGTTCACGTCTATATTGTTTGATCAATTTTTCATGCCTATATCTTGTAATATGAAC